TGGGGGGGCACAAAAGGGATATGCTTAATGTACTTAAAGTGAATTGGTACATTGTGAAATAGTTTTTTCCCCCTCATGGTGTATATAAGAATATTTTATTTTCCAGCAATTTATTGCACCTTATGTTCTTGCAGTCTATGCATTTTTCTGAGAGATCTGTTTTACTACGACGACACACGGTGGGCGCACATGTTTTTATGAGCAGCTTAAGAGCTGCTCCTGTTGCTGCTGCTAATTAGCCAAAGCAGGACTTCTTAAGTGTAGCTGCAGTGCAAAACACAAATCACTGTTCTATTTTTCAATATGTTCCGCTTCACAATAAAACCGAGAGATCCGTTTGATTATTTTACAGTACGTACTGTAGTTCATCCTATTTTTGATACCTGGATAATTGATTGAAGTGTTGTTTGTTTCTTGTGACTAATATTTGTGTTTGTGATTGGTCATCTCCAATAACCTTTGGTGATCACTGGCTGATTTTTACCAGAGATTTTTTTCCAGTTTTTTTTTTCTTCTGGAGGCACATACAGTATGTCCAATGAGCTATAAATTCATTGTGTTCCAAGTACAATTATTATTATTTTTTTTTTTTGGAACAAACCACTATTTTGCAGGTGTACCATGAAGTACTGATAAACTTCAAAAAGGCATTTAATTCATCAAATGCATCATGCAACTCATTTAATGAATGTGTACCTATGCATGTTTTTCCAACACTGATGTCACGGTATTTGAGAATTTGTTTCAGAATATAATTTTAAAAGTTGTGCGTTTGGATTCGTAGTTTTCTTGGTGTTACAGTCACACATGAACTGAAGCAGCCCAATTAGTTTTGAAGGCACGTTGACTAATGTAATTGGTTGTCCTCTATCTGCAAGTGCTCTGAGGCAAAGGAAAAAAAAACTCTTAATTAGCTTGTTTTAATGCCCCTGATTGTGCAGTTCTAAAATCAAGCACCAATTTTTTTTCCTGCTCCGACATAACTGCTTTGCAAAACTTGAAGCACATCCAACCTTTCACAAATGTATGAACATTGTGGGGGGGGGGTCTTCCTCGAATGGAGCGTCTTTTATCTGTGTCGGAATCCTGAAGCAGGAATAGCTCTTTGAGTCTTTGAGTGGATATACAGTCGAAGCAGTTGACACTTACTCACCATTTGTCACAAATGTGCCGCCTGGGCGGGGTTACCAGTAAGAATACACAGCAAGAAGTCGGCCAATGTGTTAGTGCTCATTAAAACGCTACAGAGTTTACAGGCACAAAGGAATTGCTCACCTTTTTCCGCTTAACAGAAAATGAGGATTATGGTGATGTTGGAAGAAAGAAAAAAGACACACAGCGAGGTAAAACCGGTTTGTAATCTTTGAAAACGGAACAGCGTAGGATTTTTTTTTTTTTTTTTACATGTGGCAAACCTTAGATGATACCAACAGGTAGGCGTGCCAACTTATTGTGCACCGAAATGATGTTGGGCTAAGGATGATCGTTTGTATTTCACCGATTCCACGCCGGATTGAATCGGGTGCCCAGGGAGGTGCTTGCGTTCAGAGTTTCAACAAGAATGGGGAAGTTGTGCTTTTCACACATTCCTCACATTTTGCTCGGGCTCGGCAGTCAGCATGCGTTGCAGCCGCCCTACCTAATAATTTTGTTTGATTTAGCTCCCAGGAAATCTGCTGGATGTGTATCACAGCCCTGGAATGGCAGCACCCACTCTCACTGTCAGCAACTCCTGTCCTGCTGATCTTCCAAATATAAAAAGGGAAATTACTGGTACGGTACAATCTGTGCAATCTACTCGTATGTGTAGCGGAACTTCAACAGTTTCATAGGATCTGCGGAGTCATTTCATGGAAAGCAGCTTTTGTCTTTCAGATGCCGATACCAAAGCTTTTATGAAGGAGAGGCAAAAGAAAGACAACCACAACCTGAGTACGTCGAGATTTGTTGTCTCCTCACTTTGTAAAATCATCTTCTGTTGTTGCCCGACACGGTGCATTCATCATGATTATTTCTTTGCCTGTTTGTTCCTTCTTAACAGTTGAGAGGAGACGGCGATTTAATATAAACGACCGTATAAAGGAGCTCGGAACGCTCATACCCAAGTCAAGCGACCCGTGAGTGCCGCCTCGTTTTTGGGGTGTCTTTCGGAGATTAACGTGTTGTGTTTGCGAGCCAAGTCTCGGCAACATCAGTCTGGTAAAACCATTTCCTTTTGTGTTTACGCCTCCGCACCGATCACAGTGAGATGCGCTGGAATAAAGGCACCATACTGAAGGCCTCGGTGGATTACATCCGCAAGTTACAGAAGGAGCAACAGCGAGCCAAGGATGTCGAACTGCGCCAGAAAAAATTGGAGCAAGCCAACCACAGCTTAATGATGCGCATCCAGGTCGGTGTTTTTGCTGTTCATTACAATCGACTGAATTCGTGACACTGCATTGGCAGTACTTTGGCTCTGGATCCTGGCAGCTGGAGCCAGAAGCGTTGAGAAGCAATGAGTGCCAATTGGAGGTCCTGTGGCAATGTTTAAACAATGTATCAAGAATGCCGTTTGGAACATCTCAATGTGTAAACAATTTCAAAAGAATGACAGTTTGCAAACAAGGAGAATGTATTGGAGGGCGGCAGTAGTAATAGTCTCGTCAGTGCAAAACGAAAAAAAAATGGATCTGATGTGCAAAGATGCAGGCATTGAAGTATTGCAGGTTGCAGAGATATTGCACGTTGTAAACATTGAGCAGGGTTACAAAAGAAAAAGATTGCACGGTGCGGTCGACAGATGCTGATGTCGTTTGTTCGAACGTCTGATGCCGTGTGCGTAGAAGCTGTGGTCTCGCCGATGCCGTTGTAATGTGGAGTTATGCCTTTTATTCCTTCATCGAGATTGTCACCAAAGGTCTCACTATTTTGCACCTACTTCTCGTATGTTTTGTCATTTCAACGTACCGTACTAGCCTAGCTGGTTAAATTCAGATTACTTTGGTGATGTTCCCAGGAGCTGGAAATACAGGCCCGTGTCCACGGTCTCTCTTCCAACGCCGTCGGCATCTCCTCTGCCCTGGGCACCGGTCCTGCCCTGCTTCAGCAGCACCACCAAACGCTTCCAAACGGCCAGTCCCTACACCCCGGCGCAGAGGCACCCTCCGGGCATAACCTCCTCGGTCTGGGTGCGGCGGGGCGCA